GGTCATGGTTTGATGATTTTTGGCAGAGTTATGCCCCTTTTACTTTGAAAATAATATGAAATTTTCAGTTTCCGTTCATTTTCTCCCCAACAGTATTAAACATTCAACTCAAATTTGACATATTGATACGTCAAAGGAATGCGCAGGTCAATTTCAAATTTGGTCATGGTTCGATGATTTTTGGCAGAGTTATGCCCCTTTCACTTTAAAAATAATATGAAATTTTCAGTTTCCGTTTATTATCTCCCCAACAATATTACACATTCAACTCAAATTTGACATATGGATATGTTTTTGGAATGCGCAGACCAAGTTCGAATCTGGTCATGGTTCAATGATTTTTGGCAGAGTAATGCCCCTTTCACTTTGAAAATGATATGAAATTTACAGTTTCTGTTCATTATCAACCCAACAGTGTTTACATATTCAACTCAAAATTGACATATGGATATGTCAAAGGAATGCGCAGGTCAAGTTGGAATTTGGTCATGGTTCGATGATTTTTTGGCAGAGTTATGTCCCTTTCACTTTGAAAATAATATAGATACATCTTAGGAATAAGCAGTTTAAGTTTGAATTTGGTCGTGGTTCAATGATTTTAGACAAACTTATCTTTCCTGAATGTTGGAAAAATTTTGAACTTTCAGTTTCAGCACTCATACTTTTGTGGAAATGTATATAGCCATTATGTTGGCTACAAATATGCAATATGCTATTTTTAAAAGGTTAAGACTGAATAATTTCAGTGCCTTGAACATTGTATAAAAATGGTTAAGACTGAATAATTTCAGTGCCTTGAACATTGTATAAAAATGGTTTGTGTTAACATTGAAAAGTTTTAAGGGCTTTGAACTTAGAATGAAAAAAATAATTTGTGCAAACAAATTTGGAACTAAATATTATAACATTTGAAATTTTGGCTGCATGCGGGGGCATCCGTGGCATGATGACACATTTCTAGTTATATTAATGTTTCTGATGTTTTACCAGTTATTTTTATGCTCCCCGAAAAATTTCGGGGGAGCATATAGTCGGCGCCTTGTCCGTCCGTCCGTCTGTCCGTCCGTTTTCTTGTCCGGAGCATAACTTGAAAACCCTTGGAGATAATTTGTTTAAACTTCATACAGTGGTAGAGGGCATTGAGGGGGAGTGCAGTGTCAAAGAACCATAACTCTATTTTGCCCGGTTTTTGAATTATCTCTCCTTATAGAAAAATCTTGTCTGGGGCATAACTCTAAAACTATAAGAGATATCAACATGAAACTTTGTAGGTGAATAGATCTCAATTGGTAGATGTGCAGTGCATAAGAACAATAACTCTTTTTGTCCTAATTTTGGAGTTATTGCCCATTGTTAATTTCAACACTTTGAACTTTGTCCGGAACATAACTCTAAAATTATAAGAGATATCAAGATGAAACATTGTAGGTAGATAGATCTCATTAAGTAGAAGTGCAGTGCAAAAGAACCATAACTCTGTAAAGCCTCATTATTGAATTATCTCCCCTTATAGAAAAATCTTGTCCGGGGCATAACTCTTAAACTATTAAGAGATATCAACATGAAACTTTGTAGGTGAATAGATCTCAATGGGGAGATGTGCAGTGCATAAGAACAATAACTCTTTTTGTCCTAATTTTGGAGTTATTGCCCTTTGTTAATTTTAACACTAAACTTTGTCTGGAACATAACTCTAAAATTATAAGAGATATCAATGTGAAACATTGTAGGTTGATAGATCTCATTGAGTAGAAGTGCAGTGCAAAAAAAACATAACTCTGTTAAGCCTCATTTTTTAATTATCTCCCCTTTTAGAAAAATCTTGTACTGGACATAGCTGTAAAACTATAAGAGATATTAACATGAAACTTTGTAGGTAGATGTATCTCAATGGGTAGATGTGCAGTGCATGAGAATCATAACTTTGCCTTGCCTAATTCTGGAGTTATTGCCCTTTGTTTATTTTTACTTTTTGAAGTTGTCCGGAACATAACTCGGAAACCATAAGAGATATCAACAAGAAACTTTGTAAGTTGATAGATAACAGTGATTAGAAGTGCAGTGCAAAGAACAGTAACTCTGCCTTTCCTAATTTTGGAATTATTGCACTTTGAACTTTTTCCAGGAACATAACTCTGAAACTACAAGAGGTGTACTTTCCTGTGTCCAAAACCTATTCGGGGAGCATCACCTGGTTTCTCTTGTATAGAAATTGTACACATTTTCTGAGAAATTTGAAAAAAAAATTCGTACGGTATATATATTCGAATCATTTGAAAATAAACGGTTGCGAATATCTAGTACAGAGTCTAGAGGTGGCATCATTACGGCAACTAAACATAACCATGTGCGGTTGATATATTCTGGAGCATCTGGCGGGGATTGAACTAAATCCGCGGATTTCGTGAGCTCCTGGGTAATTTTTGAGATCGATGTAAATTCGACAAAGACAATAAATTCATTCGTCATATTTTATACAGTACCCAAAAACCGACACGCTTCAGCTTTTATCGTTACGCTAGCCGCCTATGGTACGTCTGTAAGCGCTTTTCTCATTGGTCATATCGAGTCTTTTCCGGTATTTTATTTTAGAATAACCAATCAAATTACAGTTTACATTGTCGCTCTAAAATGTTGTCAAAATGCGTCAAAATGTCGGATATTTGTCACATTTAGAGTCCAGGAAATTGATTTTAGGGCATACCAAATCATCAGAATCCAGGAGCTTCCGGGGGCTTTTTGGCTTGGGCTCTTTAATGACCTTGACCTTGAAAGTTAAATTACTTAATTTTCTCAGATTTGTGCATTAAATGACCATATATATTTATTGGTATATGTGTGTGTGTGTGTGTGTGTATGTGTGTATAACTGTATTGAATTTAATTATCTCCCTTTATATATACTTTATCTGTCTAAATTCATTGTATCCTATGGATCTACTTGATCTTACGGGATCCAGTTGACTTTCGGAAATAGATATATAGTTCTCTGGTCCCAATCAGTGAAGAAGACAATGAAAATGTCATCGTTGATTTGTGAGACATGATAACAGAGAACAAACTCTATATATGCGAATGTTGAGCTTGTTTCAATGTGTAGTGCAGTTTGTGACTGTATATAAAGCTGTTCTGAAACCATCATTTTTGTGATGGTGGGTGAGCAGTGGCTATGCTTTCATGACTGTTCTGCTAGGCGCTGTGCCGTAATTGGACTGGCATATCGATGTGGTGGTATGTGTGTATATATTTTTCTCATTTCTATATATATATATATAATATATATATATATTATATATATATATATAAATGAGTATATTTATATATACAAAATACTAAAACAAAACTGTGACAAGACAGACCGATTAAATTTATAAAAAGGAAACTTTAAGATTTGTTCAAACATTTCTTTGTTTGCTTTTAGAAAAAGTAAAAAGTCGAGCGTTGCCCCCGGCGCCGCGGTGGCTCTTGTTATTATTTAAAATGCAACATGATTGTTGTTTTAAGTCAGTATATAATATACTCTGTGACAATTGCATGGAGATAAATAATCACCACTTTTAAGGGCATGAGCAGTGACATGTTTGGGTATGTACTCCACAGCAGAAAGCTGTTGCATATATTATTGTCAGTAAGCATAGCTCCTTGGCATGTTATTGGTCTGAAAGTTTGTTTTGATGATTTTTAGATCAAGTTCGAATATGGGTCACCTGGGTTCAATAACTTGGTCACACTGCCAAAATTTGGAAAAACCTTGTGAACACTCTAGTGGTCATATTTTTGTCTTAATTGTCATCAAACTTGGTCAGGATACTTGTCTTAAAGTTAATTGCTCTCATAAGTTCAAACATGGCTCATCTGTTTAAAAAAAATTTTTTTTAAACTGCTACTGGCATGCGGAGCAGTTCCCGTACAAAAATCGTAGTTACTTAAACATTATTTTTTATTACGCTCACTCACCAAAATTAAAATGTTACACATCAATATTCAGCTCGTCACACAAATCATGGAAATTCCATCATGTTCTAAACATAGAATAACCCTTAGTTATGAGGCCTCATATGGGGTACAGAAATTATCCATTATTTTGTATGAAGAGAAATAGTTCCCGTACATAAAATTTAAGCCATTATAATTATACAATTTTATTATATCGGACCTATTTTTTATTCATAATTGTTGAACAGACCATTTTCTAAGAGATAAATAGATGTAATTCAGGAAATAGAAAGCAGACTAAACGCGTGTATCTATTACCCGGTACCGTTACCCCCAACGCATTCACATGCGATGGCATGCTTGTATGCATGATATTTTACGTATCAAAGCCATAAAATTATTTTATATAGCAATATTGGTCAAAATTCTGATAATTAAACAAGTTTTCATCACATTGCCTTCTTATCTGTAAACAAGTGGTATTAGTGGAAAACCCTTTAACATGCCTCATGTGTAGGTATATTTGCGGATGCGCGCAAGGACGGAATCCCCCAGATAAAACAAGGTCACGTTTTGACAACGCACAGGTGAAAGTGATTTAAAATGAGACTTTTTATACGTACTGCCGAACTGACACTTAGATTTTGTCTCGTTTATGTATCTGCTTGATTTGTAATGAATTTTTGAAGAATGCATGTAAAAATCAAGCGTTTAAATGAAAAATACGGGTACTGCTTCTGTACGGGAACTGCTCGCATGCCAGTAGTGCTTAAGCTTAGATTTTGGACATTAAATTGTTCTTTGTCATGGAAAGTATTAATATTAAGTGAGCGCTTTAAAAACCATTATGGCCCTCTTATTTGCTGTGAGATATTGTCATTATTGATCCCTAAAAAATCTTGGGAATATGTAAAAAGTCTGCACCCTATTGTAAGAATGCTTTAAAAATTAAAACATTTAGGAAAACTTGGAAAAACCTGTAAATTGTACTGTGTTTTTTTTGGTAAATAAATATGGTTTTTTCATGAATTTTTAAAGGGTATGTTTTTCTATGTGTTGAAACAGGCTAAAGAGAAGAAAAAAGAAGAACTGAAGCAGTTGAAAAAGATGAAAAGACAAGAGATAATGGACAAGCTAGAGAAGCTAAAACAGATTACTGGGAATAAAACTCTGGGTATTGACGAGAAAGACCTTCATGAGGACTTTGATCCAGCTAAACATGACCAGATGATGCAGGTATGTGAATAATCTTTGATAGATTTAGATCAGTGTTTAGTTCATCTGAACTGGCTCAGGTTGAACTTTAGGAACGTTAAATGTCCGTTGTCCGTCATCTTGTCATTTGTCCATGTTTAGTTTGTTAACGGTAGTCACATTTTTGGCTCAATTGTCACAGAAACTCTATACGGATTGTCACGGTTCAGAACTGTTCACTATTTAGAGGAGAAGATATGTAAGCGACTGGATAGCTCAGTCGGTAGAGCACCGGTACGGTATTTTGAGGGTCCCGAATTTGAGTCCAAGTCAGGTAGGCGGGGGATATAGAAATAGTCTCCGTCCGCCCGTCCTTCCGTCCGTCCGTTACCTTTTGTGCCACACGTAACTTAAAAAAATATTTGACCTAGAGTCATGAAACTTTACAGGAATGTTGATCAGCATGTGTAGTTGTGCACCTGGGTATTTTCATCTGGATATTTTTAGTATTTTCAGAGTTATTGCCCTTGACTTAGTAAAATTTTGCAATTTTCAACTTGTGTCGCATGTAACTCAAAAAGTATTTGACCTTGAGTCATGAAACTTTACAGGAATGTTGATCAGCATGTGTTGTTGTGCACCTGGGTATTTTCGTCTAGATATTTGTAGTATTTTCAGAGTTATTGCCCTTGACTTAGTAAAATTTTGCAATTTTCAACTTGTGTCGCATGTAACTCAAAAAGTATTTGACCTAGAGTCATGAAACCTTACAGGAATATTGATCAGCATGTGCAGTTGTGCATCAGGTATTTTCGTCTGGATTTATTTAGTATTTTTAGAGTTATTGCCCTTCACTTAGTAAAATTTTGCAATTTTTTAACATGTGTCGCATGTAACTCAAAAAGTATTTGACCTAGAGTCATGAAACTTTACAGGAATGTTGATCAGCATATGTTGTTGTGCACCTGGGTATTTTTGTCTGGATATTTTTGTATTTTCAGAGTTATTGCCCTTGACTTTGTAAAATTTTGCAATTTTCAACTTGTGTCGCAAGTTACTCAAAAAGTATTTGACCTACAGTCATGAAACTTTACAGGAATGTTGATCAGCATGTGTAGTTGTGTACCTGGGTATTTTCGTGTGGATATTTTTAGTATTTTCAGAGTTATTGCCCTTGACTTAGTAAAATTTTGCAATTTTCAACTTGTGTCGCACATAACTCAAAAAGTATTTGACCTAGAGTTATGAAACTTTACAGGAATGTTGATCAGCATGTGTAGTTGTGCACCTGGGTATTTTCGTGTGGATAGTTTTAGTACTTTCAGAGTTATTGCCCTTGACTTAGTAAAATTTTGCAATTTTCAACATGTGTCGCACGTAACTCAAAAAGTGTTTGACCTAGAGTCATGTAACTTTACAGGAATATTGATCAGCATGTGCAGTTGTGCATCAGGTATTTTCGTCTGGATTTATTTAGTATTTTTAGAGTTATTGCCCTTCACTTAGAAAATTTTTGCAATTTTCAACTTGTGTCGCAAGTTACTCAAAAAGGATTTGACATAGTCATTAAACCTTATGGGCAGGTTGCCCAGCATATTAAGAATTGCACCTGGGGTTTAGCTTGTGGATTTATCCAGTATTTGTAGAGTTATTTCCCTTGACTTAGTAAAAAGATTGACAGAACAGTGGCGCGGTGGGGGCACCCGTGTCCTATGGACACATTTCTAGTTTTTCACCTGAGTAGAGCAAAACTCAAAAAGTTTTTGAGATATCAACATGAAATGTCATAGTTGGATAGATCTTATTGAGGAGGAATGTTGTGCGCAAGAATGATAACTCTTCTTTATACAATTTTTGAGTTATTGCCCTTTGTTCTTTTTCATGCTATTTTGTCCAGAGCTTATCTCAAAAAGTATTTGAGGTATCAACTTGAAACTTCATAGGTGGATGGATCTCATTGAGGAGGAGTGCATTGCACAAGAATGATAACTCTACCCTGCATTATTTTTGAGTTATTGCCCTTTGTTATTTTTCAAAATTAATTTTTGTCCAGGGCATAACTCAAAAAGCCTTTGAGATATCAAAATGAAACTTCATAGGTGCATAGATCTCACTCAGGAGGTGTGCAGTGCACAAGAATGATAACTCTACCTTTCATAATTTTTGAGTTATTGCCCTTTGTTATTTTTCATACCTAATTTTTCACCCGAGTGGAGCAGAACTCAAAAGTGTTTGAGATGTCAACATGAAATGTCATAGGTGGATAGATTTTATTGAGGAGGAATGCTGTGCACAAGAATGATAACTCTTTCCTGTACAATTTTTGAGTTATTGCCCTTTGTTCTTTTTCATACTATTCTGCCGGAGCTTATCTCAAAAAGTATTTGAGGTATCAACTTGAAACTTCATAGGTGGATGAATCTCATTGAGGAAGAGTGCAGTGCTCAAGAACGATAACTCTACCCTGCATAATTGTTTAGTTATTGCCCTTTTTTATTTTTCAAAATTAATTTTTGTCCAGAGCATAACTCAAAAGGCCTTTGAGATATCATTATGAAACTTCATAGGTGCATAGATCTCACTCAGGAGGTGTGCAGTGCACAAGAATGATAACTCTACCTTTTATAATTTCTGAGTTATTGCCCTTTGTTATTTTTCATACTTAATTTTTCAATTCAATTTTTTTCTCAAAAAGTATTTGAGGTATCAACTTGAAACTTCATAGGTGGATAGATTTTACTGAGGAGGGATGCAGCACACAAGAATGATAACCTACCCTGCATTATTTTTAGTCCCCTACCGGTTTACCGGAGGGGACTTTAGGTTTACCCTCCGTCCGTCTGTCTGTCTGTCTGGCAGTCCGTCAGTCCGTCTGTCCACAAAACTGGATCCCGCTATAACTTGAAAAGTACTGAAAATATTTTTATGAAACTTGATATATTGATAGATGGCAGTATGGAGATTATGCACGTCTTTTTCTTTTCTTCCTATGTTGAAAATTCTGGTTGCTATGGCAACAAATAGACTGAAAATATGGCAAATTTTACACATAAACTGGATTCTGTGTTAACGCAAAAAGTAATAGAAATATTTTTATGAAACTTGAAATATGGGTAGATGGCAGTCTGGAGATACTGCATGTCTTTTTCTTTTCTTCCTATGTTGAAAATTCTGGTTGCTATGGCAACACATAGACTGAAAATATGGCAAATTTTACACATACATGTACACTGAATCCAGTGATAACTCAAAAAGTACTGGAAATAATTTTATGAAACTTGACATATGGGTAGATGGCAGTCTTGAGATTATGCATGTCTTATCTGTTCTCCCTATTTTGAAAAAATATTGGTTGCCTTGGCAACAAAAAGGCTTAAAACATGGCAAATATAACATTATTTGTGATTAGTAAAAAAGAGCTGAATTTTTTTTATGAAATTGCATCACTGCACGTCTTTTTCTTTTCTTCCTATGTTGAAAATTCTGGTTGCTATGGCAACACATAGACTGAAAATATGGCAAATTTTACACATACATGTACACTGAATCCAGTGATAACTCAAAAAGTACTGGAAATATTTTTATGAAACTTGACATATGGGTAGATGGCAGTCTTGAGATTATGCATGTCTTATCTGTTCTCCCTATTTTGAAAAAATATTGGTTGCCTTGGCAACAAATAGGCTTAAAACATGGCAAATATAACATTATTTGTGATTAGTAAAAAAGAGCTGAATTTTTTTTATGAAATTGCATCTTTAATTCAAGAGTTATCTCCTCTTAAAGAATTTTGCTTTTAAAAATGTTATATTTTGGTAACAGGGATGTTTCAAATATTAACTTTAGAGTGTCCTTCAGTCCGTCTGTCTGTCTGTTCATAAAAACTGTTTCCTGTGATCACTTTTAAAGAACTTTTCCAACAAATTTACTTAAAATATAGAAAAGTTGAAACGTTAGTGAATGGCCAATGGCTCTTCAGAATGTTGATGGGGTTCTAACCGGTAGGGGACTTATGGATTGCTTGCAATACTATGATAATTGCTTGTTCAGTTATTGCCCTTTGTTATTTTCAGCCAACAGTATTCACATAGGTTTCAAATCTGTAATCACTATAGCCATCAGTTTTCATTACCAAAAGACCTCTTAAAATGGAATTATTCTGCTCTACTACATATACATTCTTCCAATGAGCAAACACATTCGGCGGGGGATGGCCATGTTGACATGGCTCTTGTTGCCCTTGAATTAGTAAAAATTTCCAATTTTCAACTTGTGTCTCGCGTAACTAAAAAAGTATTTGACCTAGAGTCATGAAACCTAGCAAGAATTTTGATCAGCATGTGTAGTTGTGCACCTGGGTATTTTTGTGAGGATATATTTAGTATTTTTAGAGTTATTGCCCTTGAATTAGTAAAAATTTCCAATTTTCAACTAATGTCGCACGTAATGAAAAAAATATTTGACCTAGAGTCATGAAACCTTACAAGAATTTTGGTCAGGATGTGTACTTATGCACCTTGAGATTTTCTTGTGGATTTATTCAGTATTTGTCTTTTACTTAATAAAAGATTTTTAGTTTTCAACTTGGGCACATGTAGCCAAAAAAAAAATTTGACCTAGAGACATAAGATTGACATATGGATGGAGTATGGGGGCACCTGTGTCCTATGGACAGATTTCTAGTTACACTTTGAATTTTACCCGGGACATAACTCTGAAAGTATAAGAGATATCATCACGAAACTTTATAGATAGATAGATCTCATTGAATAGAAGTGCAGTGCAAAAAACCATAACTCTGCCTAATTTTGGAGTTTTTGCCCTTTGTTCATTTTTATGCTCCCCGAAAAATTTTAACTTTGTCCGGAGCATAACTCTAAAACTGTAAGAGATATCAAGATGAAACATTGTAGGTAGATAGATCTCATTGAGTAGAGGTGCAGTGCAAAAGAACCATACCTCTGTTAAGCCTCATTTTTGAATTATCTCCCCTTTTAGAAAAATCTTGTCCAGGACATAGCTGTAAAACTATAAGAGATATC